TGGTAGTTGGGGGGAGGAAGCGTTTAAGAACTAGAGAAGGTTGTGGGTTTCATTATTGCTAAATCTTTAAGGGAGTAGAAAGCCTCATCTGTCTCTAGCGTATTGACTGCTGAGTTTGCACTGCCAACCCGTGGTTAGCAGCAACCCAATGCTTTCAGTAAATTATAACAAGTAATGAATATTTACCTGTATATATTTTTTCAGTTTTCGAGTATGTTTTTGAAAAGGGAATTCTTTTCCGCCAGGCAGAACCATTATATGATACTGGCATATATTTGTCTGGAAAAAAAGAAAAGAGGTGACAAATTAAATATTTCATAATGTAAAAATAATAGTCCCCAGGTGTTTTCAAAGTCATAAAACTCCCTATTGGTAAAGCTATTCTCTAAGTAATTTATTTCACCATTTCAGAGCTGAAAGAAGCACCAGGGACTCAAGTGCATTTATTAAGATCATTCAACAATGAAACTCGTTACAGATCTCTTAATTGACTGCCAACGTCCTTAAATAAGCCTCTTTCTTTCCCATAAGGCTAAGCTAACAAAAAATGTGCAATCTGAATGTGATCAAAATATTCCATTCCCTTGCTTTACCAAGAGCATATTTTACAAACCAGCCTAATATTTGTAGTATGAAAAGTAAAACAAAACCTATAAAATGCAGCCCAGTCCCCTGTCCCTTCCCTGAAGAGAGTCCCTTGAACACAGCGATGCTTCTCACATAATGAGCTCACTGCCAGCAGGAAAGAAAACAATTACATACAATCTTCCTCCTTAAATGTTTTCTTACCTCGGACATCTCTATATTAGAACTGTTACCTAACAAGATTATGTTTTATATTTTTAAATGTCTCTATGTAGCTGTGATTCTCAAGCTATGATCCAACCTTGAATAAATCGTCAATGTTGTCAAATAGTCATCTTAGTATAGTGTCAAATCAACTTAGTAATTCATTCTCCATAACACATATTTCAATTTTCCATTATCCAATGCCCATTTCCATTATCCATTTCCATTATCAAATGCCCATTTCTCCTTCCACCTTTCTTTCCTGACCCTCAGCAAAATTGAATCCTCTCCATGATGAAGTCATCAGGTGGGAATAACCCTAAGTTCTTGACATCAAACAGAGAAATAGACTTCCACCTGCTACCGCTCCTTTTGTTTGGACACCAGTCCTATCCTCCTTATAGTCTAATCACTTTATGACACTTTGACTTCACATTTGTAGTATAATTCTTGTTAGCAATTTTTCTATTGTGTTGTTGCACACAAAACAAACGACATACTTTATTTCTCATCCTCTTCCAATTTTAACTACATATTTCACCTCTTCATTTCATAGTCAAACTTTGAAAAGGATGGAAAGGGAGGGAGGAAATAAGGGATGGAGAGAGATCAATGATCTTATATCACTCTCTGAATTATCCTTTTTTTTTTTTACTAACCCAGTTCATTAGAAACTGGATTCCAGTCTCCTAGATCTACTAAATAGATAGTAATTTGTAAATCTCAAGTTAAGCATGAAGTATTCAGTAGTTTTCAACTTTTCTCCCTTTCTTAAAGGTCTTCTTTACTTGAAATTTATATGTAAATTATCCTCATTTATTTTCCTCTTACTTTCCTAATTCTTCCCATAAATCTATGCAGGTTCAGCTTTCCACTGGCTGTTAGTTGTTAGAATTCTCAAGACTAGTCCTTGCCCAGTTAGTTTTTGTTTGCTTTTACTTTGTTCTTCCTAAGGAATGTCATCTATAAAATGTCATCTTACGCATCTGTGTCATGCTAGCTGGAGAGCTGCCCTCAGTTCCTAACCCATCCATCAGATTTCCTAGTTTACCTTTCCTATGGGAATCCCCAAAGGAGTTGGGATCAATGTGAACATGATCGGTTTGGTTTTTTTGTTTTATGTGAAAGAAGGGATACTCCCCCCAAAAATGGATTTTATTTTCAAATTTATGTATTTCATTTTTTTTTTTACAAAAAACAAACTTATCATCTTCACAGTACCCTCAATTATACTTAATACATTTGTCAAATCTGCAATTTCATTCTTGGAAATATTTTTCAAACTAATCTGTTTGGAAGGCTGGCAGTACCTCCCTCGATTGTCTGTTTGTTTCTTCTTCTCTTCTAGGTCAGCAAATTGCTGTCCTTTCATGTCCCTCTGCATTCTCAGAAACAAAAAGAAGTCTCACAGGTGAGTCAGGTGCATGGGGCAAAAGAGGCATGTTGTTTTGGGGTGTTTTTTTTGCCAATCACTGGTGCATTGACATGGCTGCATGAGCAGGTGCATTGTCATAGTGACAAAACCAGTCCCCGTCTGCCACAAATCAGGTGTTTTGCCCCACATTGTTACACAATATTTTCAGAACCTTTAAATAGAAAGCTTGATTAACAGTCTGACCTGGTAGAATGTACTCCAAATGCACAATCCCCCCTCACATTAAAAAAAAAAAAAAAGAGCATCATCTTGATGTTTGATTTCACTTGATGAGCTTTTTTGGGGTGAGGTGATGATGGCATCTTCCACTGACTTGATTGATGGTTG